TGGTGCACTCTGGGAAATGTAGTTCTTTGAGACCCATTCTTGAGATTCAGCTCAACACCCATATACTGTAGTAGTATTCCAGTATACTGTAGTAGTATTCTAGTGTACTTTAGTACTATTCCAGTATACTGTAGTAGTATTCAAGTGTACTGTAGTAGTATTCCAGTATACTGTAGCCGTACTACTACAATATGTTGACTGTGACATGTCATCAGAACATCAGACCATCTTGACCGTACTCTAATGACCTGTCTTTCTCTCTGTCTGTGTGTCTGTAGGGGTGTTGGTTGTATCTTCTATGAGATGGCGACAGGTCGACCTCTGTTTCCTGGTTCCACAGTGGAGGAGGAGCTTCACTTCATTTTCAAACTGCTGGGTGAGAACCAATCAGCTTTTATTTATTATTAATTTATGTATTCATAAGAAACTGTATTTTGTGCATACAGAATGCATTAGATGTGTATTTCTGTGTGCAGGTACTCCCACAGAGCAAAGCTGGCCTGGGATCAGCTCTAATGATGAGTTTGTGGCGTACAACTATCCTCAGTACAGAGCAGAGAGACTGAGTAATCACACTCCCAGGTACACAGCTGTACTACACACAGGTATACAGCTGTACTGCACACAAGTATACAGCTGTACTACACACAGGTACACAGCTGTCCTACACACCGGTACACAGCTGTACTACACACAGATACACAATGGGCGACTGTGGCTCAGAGGCAGAGCGGCTCGTCCTGGGACATGTCGAATTATCCTTGAGGAAGATACTGAATCCCGAATTGCTCCCGATGCTGTGCATCAGCATGTGAATGTGTATGAATGAGTTAGTTTCTGTTCGATGGGCACTGAGTGAATGTGTGTAAAAGGGCCAATGTGGCAGGTAGTGTAAAAGCGCTTTGAGTGGTCCGAAGAGGCCAAGTGTGTAGTATAACTGTACTACACACATATAAACAACTGGTCCGAGTTACACTTGAACTTTAACCACACACACATACACAGATTTCCGTGAGCTATATTGACGGGTGCTGTCCTAACCAAGTGGAGTATTTGGGGTTCAGTGTCTTGCTTAAGGACACTTGGACATGTGGAGAGAAGGAGATAGGAATTGAACTGTCAACCTTGTGATCGGTGTACGACCACCCTGAAGGTTTGGGACAGTTATTTGGGACAGATTTTTTTCCCCCACAACATCTAGGAAGCTTTAATCGACATACTGCTTCTTTTTTTGAGAGCAAGTAGAATCAGAATCAGAATCCCCTCGCCAGGTATGTACACACATATTGGAGGAATTTGATTCCGGTTCTATGTTACTCTCAATGTTCGAACACAGACTAACAACATAAATAAATAGAACAAGTTCACCAAAATAGACATAAACTAATAACATTTGTTGAGGGTATACAAAAGTGCAATGGATCAGCAGTTGCTGAGGCAGGTTGAGCTTCCTGAGCTGGAACAGGAAGTACTGCTGCTGGGCCCTCTGTGTTGGACTCTCAGGGGACTCGCTGTGGCTCAGAGGAAGAGCGGGTTGTCCACTAATCAGAAGGTTGTTGGTTCGATACCCGGCTCCCACATGTCAAAGTGTCCTTGAGATACATACTGAGCCCAACACAGTTTTGAGCATGTTAAGCTCCAGGTTGTTCTGACCACAACAGAAAGCCAGCTGTTAAACCGTCAATGACTGTTGTGTCGTCTGCAAACTTCAGGAGTTTGACAGACTGGTCTCTCGAGGTGCAGTCATTGGTGTAGAGGGAGAAGAGCAGTGGGGAGAGCACACATCCCTGGGGGGCGCCAGTGCTAATGTGATGTTCCCCAGCCTCACGAGCTGCCTCCTGTCATTCAGGATGTAGGTATGTAGGTAGCTGTTTGATGTTGAAGCAGGGGAGAGGTGTGAATGTGGGCTTATCAAATCTACAGTAAAACACATTCAGCACATCAGCCAGTTGCTTGGTCTCAACTCTCCAGTGGTCCAGTCTCCACAGTGTGGGGGGACGGTCTCCTGTAGCTGATGATGTTCTGCAGGCCTCCACACTGACGTAGGGTTGTTGAGTAGCTCCTCTCTTTATCAGCATGTTTCTGGCCTGCTTGTTAAGGATTATGTCCCCACTTCTATAGGCCTCCTTGGTCTGACAAGGTGCCTGAGGTTTTCTGTAAACCAGGGTTTGTGGGTGTTAGTCGGCACACACATATCCTCACACAAATGTCAGTGTCAGTGAGTTCATTCAGGTTTGTGGCTGCAGCATCAAAAACAGTCAAAGCATGCCTGGTTACAGGTTGAGTGATGTCGTCGAGTTTTGAAGACAATCTTATGGAACTACTTATAATTGTAAAGAGGGAGCAGAATGTTCACATCTAACTGTAAACCCAAACCCTATTCCCTAACCCCCTAACCTTACCAAATCTTATCCCTCACCACTGTTTGACCTTGACTAACCCTAACCCTGTAAAAGTTCTGAAAAAACACAGAAACAAACAAACACAATAAAACTGTTTAATGTGTGTGTGTGTCTGTGTGTGTGTGCGCGCGCACATTGTTCAGGCTCAGCAGTGAAGGAGTGGAGCTGTTGTCAAAATTCCTGCAGGTCAGTAAACACTCACTGTGTTTGTCCAAATATGTAAACTAGAAATGTGAAGTTATTAAACTACAGTAGGTCTTTATAATAACTAATAATAATAATAAAGTTCAATAACTCTTTACAGAAGGTGACAACATGAACTGTAACTGCTGACTTTTTCATCTCATTAACAAAGTCTTTATATTCAACCATTTTAATCTTGTTAAACTGAGATCAGGATTTAATGACAACAGAATCTGTCATTATCATGGTATTGTTTATTAATTATGATTTCAAACTTCAGTTTGAAGGGAAGAAGAGGATCTCAGCAGACGAGTCCATGAACCATCGTTACTTCAGTAATCTTGGAAACAGAGTGATGACACTTCCTGACAGTAAGTTTTAACATGACCTTTGACCCCTGTTTTCAATCTGTGATGTCACTGTGTGCCATGATGTCACAAAGTCACTGTAATGGTTGTTTCAGCGACATCTATCTTCAGTGTGCCAGAGATACAACTGGAGAAAGAAACAATCAGACCGACAGTCACCCCTGATCCAGGTAACAACCTCCCCCCTGGACTCACCCGGGTGATGGGACACAACATCTTAGTTAAAATAACAGAGGTAATGATACACATTAA